TCGAACTGCTTGTCTAAAACAGGCACTTCGAGGTCTAGCTCTGTTTGACTGCTGCATTCGAATTGACTCATGGGATAGGCGACCCAGTCATCGTGTACCTCAACTGCAACTTGTTTTGGCAAAGCTCTGACAGATTGTGACGTCGCACGCTCTGCTACAATCACCGGACTTACGACTGACTCGTGCAGGGTCTGTGTATAGACATCCGTAGCCTCAATTGCAATCGTCTGACAGCACAGATTCCTGATCTCCAATACACTCGGCATTGTCAGGTAAACTTGAACTTCTGCATGGTTCAAAGGCTCAATTTCCAGTTGTGTCACACCAATGGCTATCTCGGGTGAGTATCCACTGTCAGCTTGCACAGCTACAACCCCCCCGGTGTTATAAATGCCAGCTTCCTGGCTCAATTTATGATCCCAAACATATGCATCCGTTCGGCATGCAACCAAATTTGTTTCCTCATCGGGATCTGAATTGCTTGCCCTATAATCATGTTTAATATCAGTTTTTCTCTCCAAAATATCATTTTCGTTTTTTTCATTTCCTAACTCTATATTTTCTTCTTTTTTCTCTTTTATTCCATTATCTATCCAATCTTCTCCTCTTTCCATTATTTCTAACTCAATCATTTTTTTAAATTTCTTTTTATTTACTTTAATTATTGTATCTTCTCTATCTATGTCTATTTCTCTTTTACTCTCTATATATCCTTCTGCTTCTCTTTTCCATTGTTGGTCTTTATTGCTCGTTCCTTCTCTTTCTGTATCTACCTCATCCTTCTTTTGTTTCATCCTTTTACCTATCTGATACTCCCAACTTTTACGTTCTTTATCTTCTTGTTCAAAGATTGAATATATTGATTTCCTCCCTCTAATTTTTACTCTTTCCTCATATTCGGCAATTTCTCTGGCCTCATTACTTCCTAAACTTATGTCTTTTATTTCTTCGTACTTAAATATTTTTCTCCTCTCTGTTTGAACTGAGGCATCTAAACATTTTACATATTTTTTTGTTTCAGCCTCTATATTTACTTTTTCTCCAGTTCCATAATTTCTTCTACCTTCTTTCCTCCATACTGCTATGTCCGCCTTTGTAGATATTTCCATTTCTTTTTTTGTGTCATAGTTTCCTTCCATATTTTCCTGTGTTTTTATTAGCTTCATTTCTTTATTTGTTTTATTTTCCCCTGAGACCTTTGCTTGATCTTTTTCCATCGAATCGAACTTTTCGCATTCTTTTTCACACGACGATTCTTTATCTTCATTTTTA